TCTTAAAGCATGCTGGCTGAGGAATTCTGGGAGTTGAAGTCTACACAACTTAAAGCATGTTGGCTGAGGAATTCTGGGAGTCGAAGCCCACCCCTCTTAAAGTTGCCAACCTTGGGAAATGCTAGTCTTTCTTGTCCTTTCATGACCCCTTTTTTCCCTCGCCCCAAAGAACAGCCGGGACGGGCCAAAGCCCTCCGCACCCAACAGGCGAGGCGAACATTCTGGTGCCAACCAGGAACGGGCGGGGTAGGTGAAGCCCGGTTGGGCTGAGTCGCAACACCTGTGGGCGGGGCCGTGGAGACACCCGCCTCGACCAATCCGAGCCCTCGCCCGAACAGGTGTTTGCTGGCGTCACGGGCTGGAGGGGAGGGGGGGAGGCGAGGGAAGCCGGCCTCCCCTCCGCCGCCGCCGCCGCCGCCGCCACCGGTGGCTTCGCGAGCTTCCCGCGGCCGCGCGATGTTTGGCCGGCGCCGGGGCGGCGATGGGGCTCGGCGCGCGGGGCTGCCAAGCGGGGCCGCCGGCAGGAGCAGGACCACCAGCAGCGCCATCCTCTCCTCTCCCGGCCGCAGCAACGCCCCACACGGCTCCAACGCCGGCCGGGCGCCCGGCTCGCCTTGAGAGCGCCGGGTTGCGGAGGCGGCTCCCCCAGCGGGTGGAGTAAGCGGGGGGCCCCTTTGCGCGCTTCCCCCTCGCCATCCCCGTCTCCCGGGCGGACGAGGAGAGCGGTCCCCGAGGGCGTCCCGTTGCGGGCTCCGGGCTCCCTCCCTCGGCCGCCGCTGAGCCTGGAGTGGCCCGGGGCCCGGCCATGGCCGCCTCCGCCCTTTCAGCACCTCCCGAGCTGGACAGCGCCTGCCGCATGGAGTCCGGCCCGGCGGGAAAGGCCGGCTCGGCCCAGCCGCCTCCAACGGCGGGGAAAGAAACGGCTTCGGCTTCGGCTTCTCCGAGCCCCGCCGGCTTCGCGGCTGCGGCTCCTTCTTCTGCTGCGTCTCCTTCTTCTTCTTCTTCTTCGGCCGTGGGCGGCGAGCTGGATCTGGCCCTGGAGGAGGAGCTGGCCATGCTGGCTTCGGCCGGGGAAGGGCCCGGGGAGAGCGAGCCGCCAGGAGGCCCCGCGGCGTCCCTCTCCTCCCCGGCCGAGCCGGAGCTGCTGCTGTCGCAGATGAGGCAGAAGGAGAAGGACTTGGTGTTGGCCGCCCGGTTGGGCAAAGCCTTGCTGGAGCGCAACCAGGACATGAGCCGCCAGTACGAGCGGATGTACAAGGAGTTGACCGACAAGCTGGAGGTGAGAGAGAGGGAGGGAGGGAGGGAGAGAGAGAGAGAGAGAGAGGGAGGGAGGGAGGGAGAGAGAGGGAGGGAGAGGGGGGGGGGGGGGGGGAGATGGGGGGGGGGGGCGTTTTGGTAGCAGCAGGGCGAGGCTGGAAGGCCCCGGGCGGTGACTCAGGATTTGGCTGGTTTTGGTAGAATTAGGCCCCCTCTGGAGATGCCCGAGGGGCAATGTCGCCCTCTGACCATGTGCAGAGAGCATCTCTCCAGAGGTTGAGTGGCGCCCCTTGCCCTGCCTCTCTACCTGGGTCAGATTCCATCACACACACGCCAGTTTTTCATTTCGGCTTTAGAACAACCCTGCCTGCTTGGGGAGGGGAGGGGGGGAATTGGGACTACAGCTCCCAGAATTCGTAGCCATGTTTCACAGCTGGGGAAGGAGGGGGTGTCAGACTGTCTGGAGCATCATGGTTGAGGAAAGCTGGGTCGGCACCTTGGAAACCTTGGTTTTGGGAGGGGTGGGGAAGGGAGGGAGAGGGTGGGATGCCCTGGTCTAAGCAGAGCTTTGGAAACAAGGTTTGGAGGCCGGCAAACCAGGATTGGTTGAATGTGACGTGCAGGGAAGAAGAGGAAGAAGGAAATAACACTTGGGAGTAGTCATAGGCCCGTAGGGTCTTTGCTCCAGGTATTCTCAGGTGTGTCGAGAGTACAGCTCCTCAAGGTCCAGGTCCGAGCTGGTTGAGAATTATGGGAGATGTAATCATTTCATGCGGGGGGGGGGAGAGAATGGGACACCAGACTATTTAAGGTGACGGTAGTTACATAAATAGGCCCAAATGTCCCCTTATATACCTGTATTTACCCAACCGTTACTCAGGGCTCAACCAAATGCACATTCCCGGATTTGTACAGGAATACTGTGAATGAGGCTAAAATGAGATTGGGTGATTTCTGGTTGAACTCCAGGCCTTTTTGTTCAACCACAAAATATTGGTTGAGGGGGTTTCTTCTCCCCGATTAAATGAACCGAACATCCCTAGTATGTGATTAACCTGGGTTCTCAGCGGAGGGCGTTGTGCACACATCCTTGACACCCAGCCACAAACACACACAAACCACATTTCTGCCTTAGGTGAGCCTGACCGTGGAATTGTTGAGCTCGCCATGACCTGTTGGATTGTGTAAAGTTAGAAATAGGACTTTCCCCCTTCGATGGTGGGTCAATCAGTGCTAATACCACTCTATAAAACCTTAGTAAGACCACACCTAGAGTACTGCATCCAGTTTTGTTTACCACATTATAAAAAAAGATGTTGAGACTCTAGAAAAAGTACAGAGAAGAGCAACCAGGATGATTAGGGGACTGGAGGCTAAAACATACAACGAACAGTTGCAGGAACTGGGCCTGGCTAGTCTAGGGAAGAGAAGGACCAGGGGAGACAGGATAGCGGTCTTCCAATATTTGAGGGGCTGCCCCAGAGAAGAAGGGGTCAAGCTATTTTCCAGGGTACCTGAAGACCAGACAAGGAATAATGGATGGAAACTGAACAAGGAGAGATTTAACCTGGAAATAAGGAGAAACTAAGGCAAGTTGGTAACGAACATATCATGGTTTTATGGGCTAACCAAATTAAACAGCGACTGAACTGCAAACCGCCCATGAGCTTAGTCTAACTCTGTTGTGTGAATCCATGGATTCAAGTGACATCCTTCCTCATGCTTAACTTAGAATCCTAGGGCTGGAAGGGACCTTGGAGGTCTTCTAGTCCAACCCCCCCCCCCTGCCCAAGGCAGGAGATCTTACTGCATCCCAGACAAATGACTGCCCAATCTTTTCTTGAAGATCTCCATCAGTGAAGCATCTTAACCTGTTTAACATGTTAATCTTAACATGTCTATATCCGTATACTGGATTTGCATGGGACATACAGTAAACTGATCCCAAGGGCTGGTCTCATAAACAGGCTGGAATTAATCATGGTTTGTTAGAGATTGAGGAAACGGTAGAAAGGCAGTGTTTGGGACGAACATAACCATCTTTTATGAAATCTGTGTTTCCTTCTTTCCTTCCTTCCTTCCTTCCTTCCTTCCTTCCTTCCTTCCTTCCTTCCTTTCTTTCTTTCTTTCTTTCTTTCTTTCTTTCTTTCTTTCTTTCTTTCTAACAGTGCTAGAGGAAAATGGAAAGACCTCCACCCCACTTGTTGAGTTTCCATCTTTCACTAGAATGGGGTTGAGCCGAGGACTACTTGTAGTAGACATTTGTTGAATAAAGACTCATTTAGCGTTGCCTACAACCTCCCGTACCCAATACCCGTTGCGTACCTACACCGCGAAGGGGTGGATGGGTAAGCGAAGGTTGGCAGGAGGCCGCAGACGAGCCAACCCAAACACCTTTCAAATCCAAACTGCGTGTTGTGCAGAATTACGCACCCTGTGTGCCGATTGATCGATCCAACTTCCTGTTCCGGGTTTGGCTCTTGGAAAGGCCCTCAAGCCAGAACGTTAAATTTCACAGATGCACGAACAGCTATGCATCCATCCGTGAATGGCAAGATACCGACATTCTCTCAAGGGTAGTGCCTGAGTAGTCTTTATTTGATCCTTAAGGCATAACTGACTGGGTTTTGCACACTGTAACAGAATAACGGGAAGGGATCTTGGAGGTCTTCTAGTCCAACCCCACTGCTCAAAGCAGAAGATTTATACTGTAGGAAGTTAGCACCCACCCGTCTCCTAGAAAATTGAAATATCCTAGGAAATATTTAAAAGGCAGAATATTTCCCCTAAAAAGAGTAGAAATTCAGAAGCAGAAACTCACCTCCACCTTTATTAATGGGTGGGCCATTAAGGCCTGGGCCAGAATACTTTACATAACAAAGATCTCCAGGTAAAGGTATAGCAATTGCCCAGGAGCCCTTTCAGTGCATCATTCTCCAGCAAGGCTCAACCAAGCCTGGAATTCAGGAAAACCTACAAAGTTAGCTAAGACCCCCGCCCCTGGGAGTCTGAAAGCCAATGGGATACATTTCTTGCACAGGAACAGAAAACACTAAGGCGGGGCCCAACACAGGATATATAAGGGTCTCTCCGCATCTTGGCAGGCCCTTCTTTCTCTTTTCCTTCACCTTTGGAACTTGTGATCATCCTTCTTTGGAGCTCCAAGCCATGTGGTCCTGCTGCCCACCATTCCTTACCTGGTATGCGAGCCATCCAACTTGCCTGCTAACTTGCTATTTCCACCCCCCCAACCATCAGCAGTTCTGATGTGCCAGGAGGATTAGCTAGAAAGTAGGAAATTGTTGGATTTCCTGCTTTCTAGCTAATCTAAAAGCAGAGCTGAACCTTCCTTAGGACCGAAGCTTCTATTTTTCAACACAGACTCAGGTAGCAGATGGCAGAAAGGTAGATCTTTGAGTGAATCTGTGATTCTGTGAGCAACTCAATCTGCCTGCCTGCTTTGCCTGATTTTGGGCAAAAGTTGCTCTTTTTTTCAAATAAAAAATTCAATATTTACGTAAATATTTATAATATTTACACACAAGCCACGCCCAGCCAGTCACATGACCACCAAGCCACACCCACAGAACCGGTTGTTAAGAAATTTGAATCCCAGCCCTGCAACTGAGGGTCCCCCCCACAGAGGTTTTCCTTCCAGCTTTGATATCCCTGAATACCGACTGAGCTTCTTTCTGTAATCCATGGGGAGCTCCTCTTCAAATTCAGGCGTTGCCTCCAATTTTCTGTTTTCTATCAGCCCTAGCCTGTTCGTTCTGTTGCAAGAGCTCACAATGTCCTTTATTCCCAAGGCTCCATCTGTCCATGTGAAGCTGGGTGTCTTCTCCTTTCCCCCACCCCCCACCCCCCAATTCGATCCGATTTATATAAAGAGGCCTTCATTCTTTTTCTCTCCCTGGAACCGGTTTTGCGGGACCGAAGGCTCCAGTCCAACTTCTCTTGACCTCCGGCTGGAATGCTTTTAGGAAAACAGGAAGCCGTTGAGAAAAATAACAGCTCGGCATTCAAAAGCAACCAAGCGTTCCGTAAAACAGCTTTTGATCTCTTTGGAAAAGCAGCCAACCCGGGGGTTGTGGGGAAGGGGGTGTTGGTGGTGTTTCTCCACTTTTTAGGCCCTGGAACAAGGCTCCCAAACAGATTTGCAATTCAGAATCAGACAGCGACACAGCAACAGGCTGCAGTGAAAATTCTCTGTCCTTAAAAATAATGATAATAATAACTTTTTAAAAGGGCAGTTTTAAAAACAGGGGTTTCCAGTTCATTTGCCCTTGAGGTTAACAGATGACTGTTCCGTTCTGTTCTATCTTCTATTTTATTCTATTCTATTCTATATTCTATATTTTTTATTCTATGCTATTCTATCTATTCTATTTTCATTCTATTCTATATCCTATATTCTATACTATTCTATTCTGTATTCTATTCTATTTTCATTCTATTTTATATTCTATTCTATTCTGCATTCTACATTTTCTATTCTATTCTATCTATTGTATTTTCTATTCTATTCCATATTCTATTCTATTCTATTCCATATTCTATTCCTAATTCATAATCTATTCTATTCTATTCTATTCTATTCTATTCTATTCTATTCTATTC